CTGATCCCTGATCCCTGATCCCGGTGATGCCACATGGCTCCCCTGCCCACCCCCTGACATGATCAGATATCAACCACTTTTTCGATAGATCTCTCCTCTCCATGGCGTCCGTATTTCCCAGGTTGACATTATCCGCACTGCCTTCGGGCTCTGTCGGGTTGGGCGTGCTTATTGAGCTCCATTCCCTAATCGGTCGATGTTGTTGTCTCGGATCAATGTTCCGGGTAGCTGCTGGCTGGCGACTGTCAGCTTCGCACAGGCTGCCCCCTTAAATGGCGTCTCTGAGCCAGAGGATCGGCGTGAGCATGAATGGCCGCGAGAGGGAGACTTCCAAGCCTCAACTTCGTTCTGTCTGCTCCGTTCTTCGCCATTAATTGCATGGGAACAATGCGCGGCCCTGGGTGGCCATGTGCTGGACTTGGGTATACGATTGTAAAATCGGCGTCTGTCACAGCATAACCGCCCAATCCTACTATCCTCCTGTGCGCAGGAACTTGCCGACGCGATTTGTGAAGGTGTCGTCATCATGGCCAGAGAGAGTTCCCCACAACCCCATCCGCTCGTGCTCATCACATCAATGCCCAGAGCGGACAAAGAATATTGACTTTCGACCCGTTTCAGGCGGATACCGCAGTTGTGCACGTACGGTCAGACCCGATTTGCCGAATTGGGAAGATTGGAAGGAAAGCGTGGACATGTAAGACGAAGGAAGTAGTCCGCCCGGAGTCATATTTCGCCGTCTCGCCAGGCTCGATTTAAAACAAGGCTCCGTCTCCAGCAGGTCCACAGGTCCTGCATCTACATCTGCGTCTGCATCTTCGCATCTTCTAGAAGTTCTGCCCCTGCCAGCGTCTCAACGGCGCCCATCCCCTGAGCCAACGTGCAACGCCCGCCGGACCGCGTACTGTGGGACTAGGTCTAGAGCGCAATTGAAGTGTTTTGCGCAGGCGCGGATCATCTAGTAAACACACCTTTTGCTTCGGGATATCCAGGACAGTCTTCTCCATCCGGATCCGCCCCCTTAGAGGATTGTACGCGTCGCGCACACTCAACCCGCATAGCTCGATTCCGCAACTACGCCACGCTCCACTACTTCTCTAGCAGGACTTTGAAAGCCAGACCACGTCATTATTCAAGGAAAGCAGCGCTGCGCTTAGGACCTATATCGCTGGTGGCCCTTGAGTAATCTCTTAGCAGACCCCAGCCAGCTCTTCCCGCCGACCCCCTCATTCCCCGCCGCGTCCAGCCTCCGTAACCGCCACAGCATCGCCAACACACTCGCAACATAGACGGCCTCCGCTCTCGGATCGGTCCCCGGTCGCATCAGCAATACACCCTCACTATGCGCCTGGGAGAGCGACAGGCCCAAGCCAACGTGGTGGTAAATGGCTTCTACACTTGGACCGCTGATCGCAGAATCCGCGCCAAATTGCTCGGGGAGCGCGGGCGTGCGCAGCGCCGAGCGGGTCAGGGTATATCGCAGGGGGCCGTCTTCTACCGGGTGGATTTCCCAGCGGAGCTGCGCGAGCCTGGAGCCGGATGAGAGCGGGTGGTGGAAGAATGGATGGGGGATTGTGCCGAACTTGGTGCGCGAGGGTGCGATCGGGTATGTTGTTTCTAGGGAGATGGGGGTGGTTTCGCCGGCGATGGTGAGTGTTATCTGTCCCTCGTTTGCGCGCCTGATGTCGAACTTATTAGCTGTTTACTGTATATCCCCGACGCGGGAATCTCGATACAAGACGGGCAAACTCACAACTCAACCTCAACATCCCCCCTCTGCCCCAGCAGACCACGACGCCTGACCCTCGCAATAACCCCACCCCCATCACCATCCCCATCCCCAGGAGAATCCATAAAATCAACCAGATACGCCACATCCCCATCATCACCCCCATCCCCACCAGGCTTCGCCATCATCCCCAACGCAACGGTATACTTCCCAGACCCCATCGGCGTATCCCCAACGACATCCACATACCGCGAGCTGACGTCGTACAGGGGGAGATGAGGCGTCTTGCCATCGTGCCGCGGGATATACAGCACGCGCGACAGGTGCTGTGGGGTTCGATTCAGTTTGCGCCCGAGCGCGAGCGCGGTCCCGTCGGCGCCGCGGCGGGCGTCGGCTTCGGCTGCGGCGGTTTCCCAGGACATTTTTATTTTATTTGTTTTCGGCTTGTGGGGCGGGCGGGAGGCTCGGGGGTGGTTTGTTGGTTTGTTTGATCGGAGATGGGGTGCTCGGTGCGTGCGGACGGACTTTATATCGACTAGACTGGACCATTGCCACACAAGCCTGGGGAAAGAGCGGGGCGCAGTCTCTCGCTGCCTCCTGAGTGGCCATTGAGTCATTGACCAACCGCTTCAAGGTTCCAAGTTGGCTCAAGCTGCTCAGCCCCCACAACGTACAAGCCTGAGGCGGGGCTCGTCGCCGGCGCCAATCGCGCACGGTTCTTTCCGAGATGGCGGCGGCTGTGTTGATCAGCTTGAGCCTGGAGATAATAACCAGAGGGGACGACCGATGACCTCAAGCATCCTGCCCTGTCCTGCCCCGTCAGTGACCCCGTCTGTATAACATTTCCACGTGAGATCTTACGGACTGTCTCAAGGGTCCGCCGGTTGGCTTCGCCTTGGGCGTACTGAGAACATGGCAAATTGCTTCATAAACCATACTGGTTGGTAGCCTTGGGTTCTTCTTGCCCCCCTCTTTCTTTTGATCTTTTCCTTTCCGCGACACAAAGGAGTGACTGCTAGTGACCAGTTACCCTGCTCTGATTCCCTGACATCACTTCACAGCCTATCGCGTCGCCCCAGAACCCGCAACTGGATCATGCCGGGCAGGTATACAATAACCAACCATAGGACATCTGACAAAAGGATCAGGACGACGAGTACGCAGGTGTCCAACAAACCACAAACAAAAATCACACGCCAGGCAAATCCAGGATTCTGGTGATATGACCCTGTCTGTTCGTTTCGACCCCAACTCTCGCCACTCACCACTCACCAGCGCTCTATCGATTCCAATTCCAATCTCAATTCCGATCCCATGTCCGCGCCGCAGCCTGCGCCTCCGCAAACGCCACCCGACTAACCGAAGGCGCATTATAGGTGACCCGGACCCCGCGCGCCCGGAACTCCGCGTCCAGCGCATCCATCCAGTCCAACAGGTACACCTGGCTGGCATCAGGGCTGTAGACATGAACATAGACATACGCGCCCGGCGTGAACGTGATCCGCAGTTCCTGCAGCGGCACCGCGGCGCGAAGGGCGAGTGTCGCAAACTCGCGCAGGAACCCCTCCTCACCCGGCCCCAGGTCGTGCAGTTTCTCATCGCGCTGCTGGTCCTCGGCTGTCAGGCTCCAGTGGAAGAGTCGCAGTCGCCAAGCGAGGAAGTAGGTTGGGGAGGTGTGGGCACTCGATGGTGTAGGGGCAGGGGCGTCTGCTGGATGCGGATGCGGATGCGGATGCACTGGTGGATGCGGGAAGTCGCGGACGACGAAGCCCGCGAGACCTGCGGCATTGATGCAGCGGATGGAGATGCGGCGGAGGGTGGATTTTGGAGTGCCACACTTTCCCCAGTGCCGGTCCTGCGCTGCGGCTGCGCAAGCTGCGCTAGCTTCGCGGATTATGCAGTCGAGGAGCGAGTCGGGGAGCCGGAGGATGGAGGGTTCTTGGGTGGGAGTCTCCATGACCATGACCATGACACTGTCCATGTTGGACCAGGTGCATGCCCAGTTTCCAAGGTTGTCTGAGTTAGGCCCGGCCTTTTCGGTACAGGTGTCGGTTGAAGCCTGCCAGGCACCACAGTCCACTACGCCGGCTGCCACTGGGTGCACCAGAACTACCGAAGAAGGTCCATTTTGAATTTAACTTATACTATAAGCCACAGGGCCTGTGGGTTACAGATGAGGCTTTCCTACTAGCCAGCCTACACGAGGCTCATCTCATCTTTAGGGGTCTGCAGCGCCTCCCTGCAAGAACACTGTCCATTGCAATTGCTGGTGGATTTGAAAGAGAAAATGGCTGAACGCCTCTAATCCTCCAGGTCTTCGTGTAATGAAGTTTGTCCGCCGTTGTACAACGTGTGACAGCCATCAGGGAGGGTTAGGGGTGGTAACATTATCCGGTAAATAGGCGACAAGAATGTCAGAATATGTATAGGCAATTATTATCGGAATCATATGTGTCCTAGCTAGATAGTGACGTGTTTCTCGTACTCGTTGAGGCGCCCTGGAACGCCATAATAATCACCCCCCCCCGCCCCCAGGAATCACGCGACCTGGGTCTTGCTAACTAATGGTCTCCTCCTTCTGCTGCGTCCTCTACAGCAATCTTTCATTCATGTCCCCCCCAGGAGGTTTTCCTACAGTCGCCATCTTCGCTATCGAGAATACCTCTATCCGCGCAAGCCGCCCGCAGCGTTTGTGTGTCGATCATACCTGCACGTGTACATACCCGTGGCAGCCCCGGGGGCGTGAGACCGCGGTTCATGGTTCGGGTCATGGAGTGAACACTTCAGGTGATGTTGTACAGGTTAAATAAACTGAGTTAGAACAAAGGCCCTTTCTTTTATTTCAAGACTGGTTCGTAGTTGGTGAACTCGTGACATAGGGCTATTTGCCCTGGCTTGCATTTGGAACGACCCTTGGTCTCGTCGGTTGGCTACTAACCACCGCACTAGATGATGAGACTCGGAAGTTGCAGACAGCAAACCATTATCTAGCAAGCCACATCCATCCATCCACCATCCTCGATCGAGCCCGTCCCAAAGAATCCACGGATCGGTGCCTCATTCAGTCCGCAGCCTCAACAGACAGTGCAGTCGCATCAGCGGTCCAAAGATTTCGGGGACGGCGCCTCAAGGACTCAATCAACGCACTATCCAGGTTGGTCTGTCTAGCCTCGTATGATTGATTCATCATCATGGCGCGAACCCCGCCGGTCGGATTCGACGGGACGCGACAAAATAGAACAACGAGAGGGAGAAAGAAAAAAAAAAGAACGGCCCGAGCCGCGGATCGAACGCGGGACCTCTCGCATATATGCTAAGGGTGAACCCCTGGAGTTGCGGTTAGTTATTTGAACGGGTGACTGTGATTGGTTGGTGAGGCTTACTAAGCGAGAATCATACCACTAGACCACCCGGGCAGTGATTGGTGAAAGGACTCAATCGGGTTGACATTATAAGCCTGGGGTACAATAAGCTGAGCTAACGACGCTGGTGTGGGGAATTACGGAGCAGAGCTTCCGCGATGCCAGCAGCGCCTGTCGACTTCCACGGGACTTGAATCCCGGCATTTGGATGCCCTGCCGAGGTCCTGCTTCTGTCCCCGCGAGGATTCGGGCGTGGAAAGCAAGGAGGGAATTGTGAGTAGACAGTATATATATCCTGCGCAGAGACAGACAATTCCGCCTTCCTAGCCAGTCCCGATTTCTCGAAACCCGATACATACATACACACTTGAATATACATACATACTCTATCTATCTACACCCACCATATCAACTCAAAATGTCCTCTTCCGCAGCAACCCTCGCAAATCTCAACGCATCGGGCCTGTTCATCCAGGACTCGGCGTTCATCGATGGCCAGTGGGTGTCCAGCGAAAGCACGTTCGACGTGTATGGTTCGTTCTCCGCCCTCCCTCTTTAGCTGTTTCCTCCCTATCTACCTCCAGCTCCCCATCTGCTCGGACTAAACTATCCCGTGCTCATTTGAAGTACTGTAGACCCCTCGACCGCGCAGGTCCTCGGTCGAACGGCCAACTGCACCCTTGCCGACATGCAGCGGGCCATTGCGAGTGCGCACGCCGCGCAGAGCGAGTTTTTTGCCGAGACGACGGCGGCTGTTCGTGGGAAGGTGCTGCAGAGGTGGCATGATCTTGTCATGGAGAATATCGATGACTGTAAGCTTTTTCACTCTTCACTCTTCACTCTTCACTCTTCACCCTTCCCTCCCGACCTAGCCCTACAGACAAGGACAAAAGAAAAGAAAAGAAAAAACCAACTAACCCAACCCCGGAACACGTACAGTATCCACCCTCCTCACACTCGAAAACGGCAAAACACTCACCGAAGCACGCACGGAAATCACCTACGCAGCCTCCTTCATCGCCTGGTTCGCCGCCGAAGCCCCACGCGCCTACGGCGACACGATCCCGTCCTCGATGCCGAATACCCTCGTCCTAACCCTCAAGGAACCCGTCGGCGTCTGCGGGATCATCACACCCTGGAACTTCCCCGCAGCCATGATCACGCGCAAGATCGCGCCCGCCTTAGGCGCGGGCTGCGCGGTCGTCATCAAGCCGCCGTCCGAAACGCCCTTTACTGCGCTTGCGCTGACGAAGTTGGCTGTTGCCGCGGGGGTTCCTGGGAAGGTTGTGCAGGTTGTCCCGACGCGGAACCGGGAAGTGGGGAGTGAGCTTGCGGTGAACGCGCTCGTGCGGAAGATCAGTTTCACGGGGTCGACGGGGGTCGGGAAAGCATTGGCGAAGCTTGCCGCGGGGACGCTGAAGAAGGTATCGCTGGAGCTGGGCGGGAATGCGCCGTTTATCGTGTTTGCGGACGCGGATTTGGACCTTGCGGTTGAGGGCTGCGTTGCGAGTAAGTTTCGGTGTTCGGGGCAGACGTGTGTGTGTACGAATCGGGTTTATGTGGCGCGCGAGATTCTGGCGGAGTTTACGGCGAGGCTTGTGGAGAGGGTGAGGAGGGAACTGAAGTGTGGCGCTGGTCTGGAACAGCCAACGACGCAGGGACCCCTGATCAACAGGGCCGCCGTGGAGAAAGTGCAAGAGCACATCGCCGACGCCGTGAGCAAGGGCGCCTCCATTGAAACCGGCGGCGGTGTCCCCGCGGGCCTCGACGCGGGCTTCTTCATCGAACCGACCGTGCTCTCCGGTGTGACGAGCGATATGGCCGTTGCGCGTGAGGAGACGTTTGGTCCACTCGCGCCGATATTTGCTTTTGATTCCGAGGACGAGGTGATTGCATTAGCCAACAAGACCGAGTTTGGGCTTGCAGGGTACTTCTATTCGCGGGACGTGGCGCGGGTGCTGCGTGTCGCGCAGAAGATGCAGGTGGGCATGTGCGGTGTCAACACGGGCAAGATCAGTGCGGCCGAGGCGCCGTTTGGGGGCGTCAAGGAGAGCGGATATGGACTGGAGGGGAGCAAGTATGGGATGGCCGAGTATCAGGTCGTCAAGACGGTGACGATTGGGAATCTGGATCGGTGATGGCGCCATCGGGAGTGGGTAGCAGCTCGAGATATCTAGACGCCGGATACTGCTAGTAGTCGAATGGAATGCCAACACGTTCGCTCTGGTTATGCAGTGCACCGTGCCCCTGATGGCTTCTATTCCTGGAGATGTCATATCCAACTGGGAGTTTGTGCTGGCCACCGTCAGCCGGAAGCCCGGAAATGAGCCGCCGACCAGGTGTAATGTATTTCGAGATTCAGGGTCTCGCCGTGAGGGGGGTTACCCATGCACCTCATTGGCGGTTGGAAAGCAGGCATTTCATTCGTGTCAGACGCGCCAGCCCAGCCTGTCGGAACAGCCTGGGCCCTTGAGCTGGCAGTGCTCGGGGCGCCCCGCACGGGTCGGCAGATCGACTCCACCGTTTATCTCAGGGACAGGAACCCACAACATATACGGACATGACCTTTAAATCAATATTTTTGTATACTAAGGTGGGTAGATGCCGTTTCCGTGGTCACGCTTACACACTCTTCAGGGAAATCTTCAAGTTGATGAGCTGTGCATCGATTTCATTGACAGCCGGCAGTCTCGCGCCCAGCCGCCCCTGACGCAGTCGAGACAAAGAGATAACGTTTCAAACGGACCAATTTACTTGAGACTCCGGCTAGCGCGAGTCAAAGATAGACCTGGCCGGAGGACGAACCCTCGCCAGTTGCCAAGGCTGCGGCGCAGATTGCAATCTGGGCATCGCCCTGGCCCAGCCTTTTTTTGGGCTTTCCCCATTCTTGCCCCAGTCTTTACGAGAGGGCAATTGGCATGGTTTCGAGAATATGGTCTCGTCAATTGAACCTCATATGTCCGTCCATGTACATGGATCTGAATCCCCAGAATGCGAACAGGAGGAGTCTCGCCCCCAAAATCCAAAATCCGCCCCCAACGCCTCGCGGGAAGCCAAGCGACAGGATTGGAACCGACGCAGGAGACCTGCAGTAGCGTCGCACAGTTTCTCATCGATGTCGCGGACAGAACTCAGAACACGGGCTCTGACACCCTCTAGTCCCTTTTTGGGGAGCGCGCGGCACCGGGGTCTGCAAGATGTCTGCGGCACAGCAAGGCTGAGGTTCTGCCGTGGATTATTTTATTAGTGGGTCTGCCCCGGGGAGTCGGTGGTCGTAATATGTCTGCCACCTTTGGCTCTAGAGGAAGCTGCTCGCTCGATCTGCTGCAGTTATGATGGGTCGATGTATTCTTTTCCTGCTTGCGGCGCAGTTGCTCGGTGGTGTTTCTGCTTCTGCTGTCGGGTCTCCTCCCCTCCGGACTGTGCGTGCTGCGGATGACACGACTGTCGCGATCAAACGCGCGCTGAATGATGCGGCGGGCACGACATATACGCTGAATCGGACTCATCTGACGAAAAGCTGGGCGGACGCGACCCTGTTCTCGCTCGGACTCGGGTACCTCCCTAAACCCCGTCCCTCCCCCTCAAGAGCACCTCACTAATCCCATCGCAGCACCACCACAAGCACAACAAACAACTCAACCGGAACGGACCAAACCCTCGAGCTCGAAAGCGCACTAACAGTCATCTGCACAGCATGCTACATCAACGGCTCCGTAACAGGGACACTCAACATCACAAACGACTTCAACCTGACGAGCGCAGTCTCTAGCCTCGGCGACGAGATCTCAAACGTAACCTCCTCAGCCCTCGACCAGCTATCCTCCTTCGCGGAGAACGCAACCCACGCTGTTCTCGACGCCATCACGGACTTCTCCATCGACGACGGCGATGGATTCGGCTTCGGCTTCGACGACCTCGACCTCCCCGCCTGGCCGACTCTCGATCTCGACTTTGATCTCGACGAGATGGACGGATTCCCGGACGTGCATGCGCAGATCGAATTCACGGATCTGGAGCTGTACCTCGAGCTCGATGTGATTCTGTCTGCGGGCGCGACGTACACGCTGAATCTGTTCACGTCGCAGAGTGTGGCCGGGATTAAGATTCCCGGGCTGGAGGCGGGCGTCCTATTCAAGGTTGATCTTGTCCTTATCGCTGAGGCCGAGATTGATGTCTCTTCTGGGTTCCATGTTAAACTTGATCAAGGGCTACTCCTTGATTTTGCGCTTTTTAAGAGGGATGTTGGGGGGGTTACGCTGTGAGTGTCGTCCTACCTACCCACCTATCCCACCTACCCATCCTCCCATCCACCCAAGCCACCCCAGATAAAGAGAAAGAACGAAATGTCTAACAACCGAGTCCAGCCCAGGCGGCCTCCTCGAATTCCTCCCCATAACAATAACCGGGTCCGGCTCCCTCCGCGCCCTCCTCCAACTAAGCACCAGCATCGGCTTCGAGCTCGCAACACCCGGGCTCGCCTTCCTTGCCGACATCCCGGGGCTGGACATTGGCTTCAGCACGGGCGTCAGTGCCGAGGTCTTCGCGTACGTCGCGGACCTGCAGCTCGGCGTCAACGCGACGACGGATGACGACGCGGACTGTGCGCTCGAGGCTGTTGCGCAGTATACCCTTGCCGTGGGCGCTGCAGCCGGCGCGACGGTTGCTGTTCATACGTATCAGTGGGGGCCTGCGCCGAGTGTTACTGTTCCCGTTTGGTATACGACGTTGGGGAGTTTTTGTGCGGGGGAGAGGAGCGACACGTCCACTTCCTCCACTATCACTTCATCTACCAGCGGTGCATTGCCAACCCCGACGCGGGGACTCCTCGAAGAGCGCCAGCGAACTACGGACGAAGCACCTGAACTGCACACAATAACACTAACATCCTCAACGAAATACACCCTGACCGGCTGCCGCTCGACAGGACTCGCCAACTGCCCCGCATCGCTGCAGACGACGACATCCACGCAGCGCGAGATGACGACCGTCCTCACCGTTGAGTCTGGCGTTACGCCGAGCTTCCCGGTTAGCACGTTTAGTACGCTTTCTGC